CCCCCGCCCATCACCTAAGTGACAAGTATGGTCAGTCAGGGGGTGCACTGGCACTCTCATGGGGTGCATGTGCACCACCTTGCACACTCTACATGTTGCCACTGCTGCCCTCACTGCCCTGGATAGTGAGAGAGGACCCTGAAGGCCTGTCCCCAGTAGTGGGAGGGGAGTGGGTCTCACTGGGAGGTGTGGGGTGCTGTGTGTGACACACCAAGACTTTTGGAGACTCCTGATAGAGCTGAGACTTGTGGGGTGGGGACCAGGGACACCATCACTGCCCTGTTGAGCTCCCTGCTGTGTTGGACAGGGGGATTCCCAAATTAAATGCAGTGGGGGCTCCCATGAAACCCAGGTGTCTGCCTAGGACAGGCCTGTGTGTTTTGGGTATAGGGACCACCCGCCACTGCTGCTCACGGTTGCCGCTGAGAAAATCCTGCAAGAAGGCATCCATGGGTCCAGGGTCCTTGTAGAGGTGCAGGGCCTGGGAGAAGTGATAGAGTGAGACCAGCACATCTTTGGGGCTGCGCAGGGTGTAAATGACCTGGGGAGAGGGGAGCAAGGCTCAGATCCTGCAGAAGAGATCCTCCTATGGCTGCTGTGAGCCCTGCCCTAGTCTTCCCCACTGCTAACGTGGCATGTGCTTGTGTGTGGGAGGGGAAGAACTGTTTCGGGACAGTCCAGGCCCATTCTTTCAAGCCAGGCAACTTCAAGAGCTTGAGACAGAGACAAAGGAGAGGACCACAGAACCCTGGAGTAGATGGGCTAGAAAGTACCTGGGGGCACCTAGAGCAGGTGGAGCCAGGCTTCCCTGGGAGCTTTCCCAGCCTAGGGACCTGACATACAGACAAGAGCAATGCAGTGGATCCTGTCTCTCTGGGATTGTGGAAACACTGGTAGAAGACAGGGTCTGGTGCCAGAGCCATAAGACATGTAAGGAGCTGGGTCACAGGATAGGCAGCAGGCAGTGGTGAACAGGGGTGTCAGGCTGCAGGGGGTCACAGTGCAGCTCTTCCAGAACCCCCTATGATGGATCCTATGGGACAGTGGTAATAACAACCTCAGCATACAACATGGGAGTTGGTTGATGAAACTGGTGACATCCCAGGGCAGGGAGCATCATCTGCACAGAGGAGAACCTGAATATCTGGCAGAAGGAACTGGATGATATTGAGGATGGAGAAAACAGGAATGGGGCAAAAATCAACAGCACAGAGGGCTGGGTCTTGCCCTCACACACACAACAAGGACCAGTACCAGGCACTGGGGCCTCATGGGCTGGGAGGGGAGACCATCCCAGGGTGACTCTGAGTCACCAGCATGATGCAACGAAGAGAGGGAAGATGCTGGACGGGGTGAGGCATTTCCTGCAGAGACCAGGAGGATCTCTGTGCCCACCCTGGGGACATCTTGGGGAAGAAACCCAGTTGGGTTTGGAGACGGTGGCTCAACCTGTTCAGGGGCTGAGGGGATGCTGTACCTGGGAGAGCCCCTCACTCCTGACCCACAGCCCCCTGCTCACCCTGCTCACCTTCGCCTGTGAGCTCTGGAAGGACCTGGGGAAGAGCTGGATGGGCAGGTGTGAGCTGAGAAGCCGGGGCGGTGGGTACCTCAGGGCATTCTGCAGCCCCCTGTTGGTCTCGATCCAGGGGGCCCGCCTCAAGTTCAGCACACTGCGCACCCAACTGGGGTCCCCGTCGCACCGAATCAGGCTCAGGATCTCCAGCATCCAGTTGGTGCCTGGGTGAAAGGTTTGGCATATGGGAATCAGTCCCTACTGCACTTTCTGGACAACTCTCCTCTCCCCAAACTCTGAGTTCCCCTCCACTGCCTACCTGATTTGGGGTAGGTGATGTTGAAGATGTCATCGTCCTGCACCTGGAACTGTCTGTCCACGTAGTCGAGTGTCTCAGGTGAATACTCCAGGCAGGGGAAGGGGATCCCCTTGTAGGTGAAGAACTGAGTGGCCATCACACCCTGGGATGCAGACGTGGGACCCTGGGACCCAGCTGACATGGGCAGCTATTGTGAGGCAGGGCTCTGGGCTGAGCTCAGGACATATGGTGGGGTGGGCAGGGCCATGTGTGGGGGGCAGCACAAAGGGAGGGATGTAGCCCTGGTGCCCTGTCAGGGAATGACCTTTTCATGCCCTGCCCTGCCCTGCCCTGACCCCAACCCAGAGCTACCTGATGCCACTGCCCGGGGGCAGTCAGGGTCAGTGTCCACAGGACCGCTCCTCCCCCCCCGCCTCCCCCGCCTAAGCTGAGCCATGCTGGCTGTACGTACAGCTTCCCTGTGGGGCAGACTTTGCTCCTGGCAGGCAAAGGGATTCAGTCTTCACCTTTGGACCTTGGGGGAGCAAACAGCTGCCAGATCTTGAGGAGAGCAGCACTGACAGGGGAGTGGGGCATGGGCATGGGCATGGTCCAAGTCTCCCTTACAGTCTTGGGGGCCATCAGGAGTCCTCTGGCTGGTCCCCTGCCCCTGTACCCCTGTCCTGCTCTCTCAGAGGCAAATCAGGGGCACACACTGTAGCCCTTGGCCCCAATCTCCACCCCCAGATCTCTCTAAAGATAACCCTGCAGTGGCCACCCCAGCTTTGGGGTCCACACCTAGGGGTCAGACTCCTCAACCCATTTTCCATCTCCCAGCCTGTGGCCCCAAGCCACAACCCAGGCCCACCACTCTGTGATGTCCCATTTCTGAGTGTCTGGCTCTTCCCCCAAGGGGCAGGGCTGGATGGGGAGAGCAGAAATGAAGGCTGGGGAGGGCTGGGAGCAGCAGGGAGATGTCCCTTTCATAACCTCCCATTGCAGTGGGATGTTCACTGAGAAAGCTATGTCCAGAGAGGTCTGACGGTCAGAATGCAACCTCATGTGCTGTGTCATCCAGATCTTTTTTTTTTAATTACAACTTCCAACTGAAACCAGAGGATACTTTCTTTCCTCATTCTTTAAATGTAAGAAATGCTTGTGAAAGCTCAAATTTTGAAAAGACATTAATTTTACACACAAAGAAATACCGCTAGAGATAGGTATGACTAGACACAGCATGTGATTTTTATTTTGAATAGATTTTCATTAGATTTTGTTTAATTTTAGATAGTTTATTTTATGGTCTATTCATTGTGTTAGTCCCACAGTCATCATAGTTAAATTTACATCTCTCATTTTGATTCATAAAGCATAGTTGAGCCTCCTGGAGCATCTTGACAGTGCAAACCACCCTTCACAGCATCTCCAAACCTGAGTTAATGTTCATCTGAGTCAACATGAGCACACACACCTGTTATAAGGATTTTAGTTAGAAGTAAAAGAGGTCTGCAAGCTGGAAAATAGAAAAGGGATATAAAGAGGAATGGCTGACACACAGCAACGCTGCAGAAGGAGCGGAAGCTTGACTAAAGGAACATTCAGACCGTCAAGAAGGAAAGAGGTTCATCAACCCCTGGGAAGGGAAGAGACATCACCAGGAATCAGGTAGATGCTAATGAAGACAATTGACCTCATGAACAGGCACTTGGTTTTAAAGTGTGGGTCAGGAGTCAAAGGGGGTAGCGGGACAACTGCTTCCCTGCCCCCCCGCTCCCCCCCTCCGGATCCACCTCTGTAGATGTGCTTTGGTTTCTAGAGACCATTAGAAGGGTTGTGGGGTGTTGTTGTCCAGAATCAAGCCCCAACCAAGATGCTGTCACCGTAAAGACATTCAAGTGTTTTGTGTCACAGGGAATTCCTGCTCCTGGTTCTGAACAGGACCCTTCCCCGGGGGCCCCCACACTCAGAGCCCTGCAGACCAAGCTCCAGCTCATACACAGTACAGGGGCCATGTCTAGGTCCCTGAAGTGGGAGAAGGAGCAAACATTAGGCCTGGTGCTGTGGAAGAGTCTGGAGTAGCCTCTGCAGGCAAGAGCTACCAGAGAGGCAGGTCCACAACCAGCCTGAGCACCAAGAGTCACTGGAGATATGGCAACCCCTGGTCATGGAGCCCCAGAATGGCTGGGCTGGTGGGACCTGTAGGCTGTCACACCTCATGGACCCCCTGCTCCAGGCAGCGTCAGCCCCTTGTGACACATCCAAGGTGGGGGCTGTCTTCATGCACTTGGAGAGCTGGAACCAAGGCAGCCTCTGGCTTGAGGCTTATCTGTTATTTATTGCCTTCTAGGAACAGGTAACTGCTGCTGGTTTGCTCAGCTTCCAGGAACCTAGCAGGGATTGCACTTGAGGGTGTTGGCTGGTGACCACCCTGTGAGGGGAGGCAGTGCCCAGCTGGCTGAGGACCAGGTCAAGGTGGTTCATGGCGCAGAGATTTAGCAACCAGCTGGATGGTGTGTGGCAGGACTGGCCCAAGTGTTGGGAAAGGGCTGGCTCATAAGGCTGGGGGATCAGCTGTAGAGTCATTGAATAGCTATGTGTCAATGTTGGAATGGACTCCTCTGCCTCTAGCGTCTGGACCCCTTCCGCCAGCCTGCCCCTCCTTTCTCACTCTGTCCCCCACACCAATATCAGGAACCCTCAGCTGCAGGGCAGTGACAAGAGGAAGCTCCTGCCCTCTGCACCCCTCTCTCTACCCAGCCCACAGGCATGGGGGTTATCTGTTCCAGGAAATTGGATCTGGCACTGGGTGCCCCTCCCTAGGTGTCCCCTGCTCCTTCTGCCTGAGGCTACTATATGACCTCACTGGCACCTACCCCAGCCTGTCAGAATCCTGGGGCAGGTAAGTGCATGGCTTTCTTTCCGCAAAGCTCAGGGGACTCCTTTTGCCTTCTCCATGCAGAAGGGATGGTGTCCTTAAGGTGGGGGAGTCCTTGCTATGGGGCGTATGAGCCCCAAGCTCAACCCCTGTAGACTCTGCATACTCCTCATTTGGGCATGGGGTCCAGGGGTTATGAAGCGTGTCCCCATCCCTTGGCATCTTGTTGCCACCTCTGTCCCCTCTCTGAAGAATGACCCCTCTCCTGGTCCTTACTTTTCCAGCCATGGCACTGAGAATAAGGATGCTTCTGCTGGTGCTGTTCTGGTGCTGTGTGGTGAGTCTGAACTGAGCTGGGTCTGGGCTGACTCAAAGGGGGACAGGACTGGCATGAGGACCTGGGGGAGCCCTGGATGAGCTAGCAGAAGGTGAGGGGCTGGGAACACAGGGATGGAAGGTCCCTACTGGACTACAAACCAGTGCCCTGTATCCAAAGACAACTCTTTACCTAAGGACTCCCCAAATGCCCACTTAACATCCCCAGTGACAGGCACAGTAACCAAAAACACCCAGGAATACACCATGGCTAAAAAGTAGGGGAGATGGGGGCACTGCCCACAGGATTACTGGACCCCAACCACCCTGTCCTAGACTTACCTCCATGCCCATCTTGGGGGTGGCAGCATGTAACTCCATAGACTTGCTGAGCCAGGGCTCCATGTCATGGCCTATCATCCCTTCCGCAAGGAAATCCAGTCCCCACTTGAAGTGCTGCCAGTGTTTTGTTTAGAGAAGCATTCCAAACATTTGCTTCTCTGACAGTTAGATGTCTCATTTCCAAACTGAATTTGTCTACACCTGGGTGGTAGGAAGGTGCACTGGCAGAGCTGGTGCAAAGGAGTTCAAGGCTGGGGTAGGTTGAGAGGTGGGGGCACAAGTACAGCTGGGGGGGTCCCAGCACTGGGAAGTTGGGAGCAAAGAGAACGGGTGCTGTCAGATGAATGAGGGGGTTGTGGGTCAAGAATGAGGAACACCAGAAGAGCCATTGGGGTGGGAGCTTTTATAAATGCTCCACCCACCTCTGCCTCACACCTGGCTTGGACACCAATCCCATGGGGAAGCAATTCCTCATCACCGTCCCATAGATGCAGGGCTCATGGAGCCCCATGGCCCAGGGCAGCCTCCAGCTGCTCATCACTGTCTTGGCCCCTTCCACTATGGTTACCGTCACGGTGGAAGGAACAGTTTTCCAGAGGGTCCTCACCCTTCACCAGGGTGAGACATGGACTTTTCAAGCCTCCACAGAGATGGTGGGGACAGGCTTATTCAACAGAATGGTTCTGGTGGTCATTGACCAATGGTCCCCATCCTCACAGTGAGCTCAAAAGACCAGCCATCTGAAAGCATGGTGCTGTACCCCATGGGGAGCTTAGGCCAGAAGTACTATGTGGTCAGCCCCATGTCAGAGACCAGACTTCTGGCCAGAGTTCACCATCTTGACTAGGCTTGAAGTCCCCATGGTGGAGATCCACCCCCAGGGCCCAGTGAAGATCTATGGGGTTTCCTGAAACATGCTGACCATTGATCTCCCATCCTACCAGACCATTCAGCTGCAAAGTCAGGCCTTCTTGTCTGGCTCAGGTGTCTTCTCCCCATGGCCCATGGTGGTCCTGTCTGGACACATAAAGCTGCATAAAGTTAGGTGACACCCAGAGTCACATCATCAAGCATCTCCTGGCTATATCCAGCTGAGTCTCCTCCTTCATCCTGCCCCCACGGGGGAGCAGCAAGGAAAAGCTTAACCAAGTCTACATTGTGGCCTCCCAGCTCAGTGTCATTGCTCACCGGAGCAGGAGCATCCCCAGGACCCAGAATGTGGCAGCCAGGAAGGTGGTTAAGCTGGTTGTTGGGGGCTCCACAGTGCTTTCCATCATGGCCAGTGCTAGCATGCAAGTCTTCTAATGTTCTCTGGGGAGAACAAATGAGCACATCACCTTTTCCCCATTCTTCACCCGCCCATCATGAGCTTTTGCTTATCCTACCACAACACTGGGCCTGCAGGGTTCAACAACTATGTGGCCCTGGTGGCCATGGAAGAGGATGTCTGGGCCACCACAATCAATAAGAGGCTGCCAGGATCCACCCAGTGGCAGATGATGCAGGAGCTGGATTACCTTGGGGCACCTATAGCCTGGGCAGGAGTTTCAGCAGCCACAACATGGAACACCCCCAGTGCAGTCTTCGGCATCCTGAGCTTTGGGATTGCCTCGATGTACGTGTAGGGCTCGGTGGGCATCTGTACTGAGGGTGGCGATGGTCTGAGAAGTGTTCAAGGGCTTCATGGACCACAGGGATGGTCCAGACTAGCTAAGCCTGGGCTCCAGTTTCCTTTGGAGGGACCATGAAGGATTCTCAGGATT